CATCCGTTTGAGTATCGCCATGACCACGTAAATCAATGGATAAACATTGGCAATGTATCATATTGGTAATCTCCATCTAAAAACACAAAATAGCAGTTCTCTATATTCAAACTTTTAAAACACAAAACCACATAAATAATACACACACAAAAATGAGCCCATGTTAGGCCCGAATAACCACCACCGTGCAGTAGCAGCAAAACTGGTCCCGGCTTTTCCGGTTGCTTTGTGCGATAGATGCGAAAAGTGCGTTTGTCATCCACCACTACGTCATCCTTTTCGTCAAAGAATTCACTCCACAACGACGGTTTAAAATCACGAACTCGTGACTTTTTAAATGAATCGCTAGAAAGATAATAGAATAGTTTAAAAATTATTAATCTTTTCTAAATATTTATTTACATTTATGTACCTTCTGCCTATGCGACTGCTGGGTATGGTGGGTGGCAAACGACCTTTTAACATGGTTCTTTGTAAATTGGACATGTTTTTTCTCTATTAAACTTTATTAAGTTATTGTGCCTTGAGTTTGTTTTACGTTTTTCTTCCTTTATTTAAGGATAAAACCAATTTTTAAGGTAGGATTGTCTAGTTTTTCTTCTTTTTTCACTAAAAAGCCATTTGTGTTTTTATTCCGTTACGTATCGACGCGCAGCTGATTTTTTTGCACAAACACAGCGACAACAACAAGAAAAACGTTTTGTTTCCATTTGTTTTTGATGTTTCAAGGAGGAATACTAGCAAAAGTGTTGCCACTTTGTTAGGTTTGTGTTTGCGAGATACAATGGCGGAAATAATTGCCAGTTCAAAAGAAAACGTTAGCTTTTCCACTAATAAATCGATGTTCATGTCAAGTAAGAATGTATAGTCGGTCATGGACGACCATATTATATCCTTCACCAGTGAGTAGTATTTAATCATTTTTAAATAATAAAGAATTAATTTTTTTTGTCTTAATTCCGAAATATTTTAACAATTTGTTGACAAAAATAGTGATATTCTGAAAGAAAGTTATATCCGAGGCAAAGGTAAATATGGGCTTATCCCTATAAATGTTGGTGTTCATGGTGAATCTAGTGTTTATAAGTGAATTATTGACCTTTAAGTAATTTTCTGAAGCATACTTTGTATGGGTGCTAGTGTCAAATGAGGCCGATCATTAAGAAAATCAACAGTAACATTTAGACTGATACAAAACTAAGTTATACCGATTTTTGTAGAGATACTAGAACATATAACATACTAATGAACTTAAGAACCCTATTCTGGGATTACGGTGGTATGAGGGCTAGGTGAAATAATGCACGGATTTGAACCATTTTTAATAGAATTCATCCCTGAACCAAGAGAAACGTATTTATCTTCAAATAATCTTTACATGGACATTCATATTAAATCTAAACTGATTGATATATGTACATACTTTCAAGATGGGTATATCACCAATATTTGTGGGTGTTACAAACATCAGCACAAACGGATGATATCCTCCCCACTATGATGTAGGTTATAAAAAGTTCAATTTATTTTTTTAACACCAATTCAAAAACTATATAAAAAAATTTTCGCAAATTTTTGCAAAAAATATAAATTTCTTAAATGTTTCTAATATATTAATTAATTTTCATAAAATATATTCCGAAATTTTTCTAAAGAAAGATTTAAAGGAAAACTTTGTCGACAAATTTTAAAAAATATAAAACATTTTAATGAAAATTAATATAGAAATAAAAAAAGTCGACTCTCTTATTTTTTGCAAAAATAGCTAGTTTGATTTTTTTTAAATAGATTTTTTACTTAAATTGATTATTTAAAAAAAACGATTTTACTTCCACTTAAACTCTGAATATATATTAAAAAACTAATTTAAAAAATGTATTCAAAATTTAATAAATCAATCACGAAAAATTACGAATTAAATCGATTAAACTCCAAATTCTTTATTATTCTAGATTATCCACGAAAATCTTGATTTTCCGCAAAAATATAATTTATAATTTATTAAATCACAATTTAAAATATAACAAAAAACTAATAAAAATTTAATTTTCAGTAATAACTTAATTTTAGTCTAGAACTACGAAAAAATCACATTGAGTACTTAAATTTTATATCTCTTTCAAAAAATATATTAATTTTTTTGGAAAATTAAAAAGTATGATTCATTCACGCCATATCCTTTTCAAAATATTCAAATTCTATTCATCCCCTTCATAAATGCATTTTTATCAGATACACACATTTTCTATTTTAAATTTCCAACTTTATGTAGCATTTATTTACACACGCATATTTTTTCTATAAACATATTTATGCACTTTACAACTCATCCATGAATCCCCAATGCAAAAATGTTTTATCCAAAAATAACTTAAAAGTGCAAAAAAAAAACATGTCACTTTCTTACATTTTCCTTTGCACAAGCAAAAAAATGTAAAAGAAAATGTTTCAAGAGCAAAATGTTTGGCTAAATATAGAAATGTTAAATAAAAGTATCCATCATCTACGAGTTGCATTAAACGCCCAGGAATGTTGCCTTTAAAAAAAAAAGTAATTTTAATTATAAATAACTTAGAATTAATGAGGAGAACTTTTTTAATTTGTCATTTAAAAAAGGCAACATTTTAAAAATGTATGTAATTTTTTCGAGAAGGCTACAGGATGTAGCAATGAACTAAATAATAGAACTTCATTGATTTTCTTAAATATGTATGTAAAAAATTGTACTTAAAATTCTCAGAAATAATTCTTGTAGAGTATTCATAGTTTTAAATTCTCTTAAAAATTGCATATGCTGTTTGTTAACCATAATACATTTAATTATAATTTTTATATAATTATAATGTGTTGATGTTTTTGAGTTCCCCTTCATAGGCAAACAGAATACTTATCTATAGTCGTTCAATATTTAAAAATATGAATTATGATTTACATATTTATGGATGCTGCATTTACATTAATGACGTTTTTCCACTACTAGTCATCATTATCGCACTATCAGTTACTTGAAATGGGCGTTCAACATACTACTTAATTTATATATAAATAAGGTAGCATGAAAAAATATAAACATAAAATTTAAGATATTTAAATCCTATAAATATTTAAATTTATTATAAATAATTTAAAAATCCAAATAATATTTATTTTAGTTGTAATTATGTATTTACCATTTTTTTTTGTTTCAAAGATATGATACCATCCTAATATTTTTTAATTCCTTTTTAAGTTAGTCATGTTTTTTTTCATACTAAACATAAATTCCATGGGAATATGTCGTGAAAAAAAGTTTACATAGATGGCTGTTGAACCAAATGAATATAATTATTATCGGTTTATCAGAATCAGAACATATAGCATACATATATACAAATGAAAACTTGTTAAACTACTAAATCTTGTCGGATTTTTTAAATATACTAAATCTTTTAAATTTTTATTAATTTATTTCAAATTGAAAAAATTTCCAAAATTTTTTATTGAAAAAATTTCCAAAAAATTTTATTGAAAAAATTCCTAAAGTTTAAGTGAAAAATTCTTTTATTGAAAAAAATGTTAAAATTTTTTAGAATTTGGATAAAATTATTGTTTTTTAATTGATAAAAGTTTAAAAATTAGTGTATATGAAAAAATTTTCGATTTCCATATTTTTCTATCAAAAATATTAATAGTTTTTCATTGAAAATATAAAATAAAATTAAAAACATTTCCAATAAATATTTTCTATATAAGTAATTTCGAAAATTTTTCTATTTAAAAAATATTGAAATATTATATAAATTTCTCTATTGAAATTAGAAAAAAATATTTTCATAATTTTCAAAAAATTTCAAAATTTAATATTTTTTAATTTATTAATCGATTTTATTTAATATTTTTTTATTGAAAATTTTTCAATAATATTTTTGTTAAGTACTTTTGAATAATTTTTTTGTTACAAAATTCATTAAAGAAAATTTTTACTTTTAAAAAAGTTTATTTTAAAAAATATTCTATTTAAATATTTTGTATAAAAAATATATTTATTAGTTTTATTTGAAAAAATTTCTAACCTTTTTTTTAATAAAAAAAATCCTAAATTTCTCAATTGGAATTAGAAAAATATAATTTCAAAATTTTCTTTAAAAATTTTCCTTAGTAATTTTTTATTGAAAAATGTTCAATAAATTTTTTATTAAAAAACTTTTAATATTTTTATTTTAAAAAAAATCAGAACTATATTCTTTGTTTTTAATTTGGACAAGTTTGTTATTTTTTATCGAAAAGATATTTTTTATTTTCTATCGAAATAAAATTCTGTAAATAAAACATTTATATTTTCATATAAAAATTTTTATGTAATGAAAAAATTTGGAACGAAATTTCGAATATATTTCAATTGGAAAAATTTCAAATATTTTTCTATTGAAACAATTTCTAATATCTTTCTATTGAAAAAAATCCAAAATTTCTCAATTTGATTTAGTTTCTTTTCTAAGTTTATTTATTTAATTTATTAATAAACTTTTATCAATTTTTTTATTTTATTAATTTTTCTTTTATTAAAACTTTTTTATTTTGTAAAAATTTAATTATTTAGTCTATTTAATAGTTTTCTGTATGAAAACAAATATAAATTTTGTAATTATAACATTTATATTTTCTATATATAAATGCATTGAAAAAAATTCGAAGTTTTTCTATTGAAAAATTTTTCAACAAAAATTAAAAAATATATATTTAAATAATTTTTTATTAATTAGTTATTTTTTATTTAATTATAGATTTAAATTATTAAATTTTTTAATAATTTGAATTTTTCTTAATATTTCTACTAAAAAATAATATATATTATATAAAAACTCTAGCAGCCAAGAAATACAACCCTGTTTGAGTAAACAAAACAAGAAAAGAAACATTATTAAGTTGCCATTTGCTGCCGGTAAATTGAAATAGAATGTTTCAATTCCATATTAAAAAACTAAATTCCTTTTGTTCACTACTTGAATTGAACCAGTTGTTGTTTTGCCCGTTTCCACGAAAGATCATATTTGCGCAAAGGAGCAACGCGTGTGTGATTTTTTTTCTACCCAAACGTGCGGAGTTTTTGGGTTCCCTCTTTTGTACAAATGCAATTACAATAAAAACAAAATACATAAAAAGTGCATTAAAGAAGATAGAAAAAAGAAGTGATTTTAACGAAGAAGAAGCAATAAAAAAGAGGAAGTTGTCAAACTAAACCTCTAGCAAATACAAATAATAAATTAAACGAAAAAAGGTATTATTTAAAACCTTAAAGAAAAATAAAGCTGATTTTGATACAAAAAAACAGCTTGTTATTTTTTCGCCAACTTATAAGTGAAGTTTTATTTTCTGGTGTTTTAACGTGAGTCAGTGTGTATGTTCACTCAAAAGAAGTAGAGAAGCAAATATAAATAAAGCAAAAAATAAAGTAAAGGAAAAATAAATTAAAAAAAAACAACAAATTCCATTTTGTATACCATAAGAAAGAAGTGAAAATTTTTAAGTAAATTTGCTTAATTAATCAAAATTGTTTAATTCATTTGAAATAAAAAAGGAAAATAAATAATTTTCATTCAAAGTCATTTACACTTGCGCATATTCCAATAAAAATCTATTGAAAGTACAAATTGAAAACAAATTTTTAAAGAAATCATTTAAAAACAACCCACCATTAAAGCAGGAATAGCAAGAAACAAAGTGAACAAAAAAATAAATTAAAAAAGAAAAATTAAACAAGAAATCAAGATAACAATCAATGAAGAAAATATGAAAATATGCAAGTTATTTAATCAATTTTATTGTTGTTAACTAATGTTTGCATAAAAGTTTTGTGTTAAATTAAACAAATATTTAGCCAACAAATAAAGTGTTTTAATACCAACAATATTTGCTTATAAAAGAGGTAATAAAATTGCTAAAATAAAAGCTAAAATTAAACAAAAATTGTGGACATTTATGGCAAATGCAACCTTGTGTAAATAGTGTGAGCAATAGTCCATCAAAAGATCAATTATCGATGGAATAGACCATATAACGGATAACCAATCTTTAACAAAATCTAATTGCTCTATAAATAATGGTTTCTTTTAATTTATTTGAGATTTCCTATAGTTATAGTTAAAATATAATTAAGTTTTAATAATTTATATGAAGTTTCTTAAAAAAATATCAAGTTTCTTTCTTTGTCCATTCTGCATGACGTTTATTCCTTCCGCCACAATATCAAAGTTCTTTTTGTAGAGTTGCCATGCTTTAAGTTAGTGCTGGTCTTCACAAGGAAACTTTTTTGGGTACGGAGTTTCTGTTACTCGGAAACTTGTTTTTTTTTGTTATTCTTCTCATTCGTACAAAAACAAAACAATGCGATTAACAAATACGAGTCATTTATGACTCTTCTGCACAAATAAATGATCATATATGCGCTCAATTTCCGATCATGAATGATACTTTCTTCGGGAGTAAATGGTACCCTACCCGCGACTCTTCTAAACGAGTCTTTCATGAGCCCCAATTCTGATCAGTACTGACTCATTTTTGAGTCATTAATAAGTCGAATTAATGGTCTTTTTATAGTTATTTTATTTAATTGGAATTATTTAGACTTAGTTTAGTGATTAGTCACCCAACTATCTTCCGTAGAAGATCATCAAACATAGAAAATTATTATAATTAAAGCATAATATAATTTCAATTTCCTTGACAGAAAATCGACTCTATAAATATCACACAAATTCGAATAAATACTTATACATATAATTTTATAAACAAAATAAGAATTATATCAACTTAATTTAGGCCAAATCAAATTTTTTTTGCCAACAAAACAGTCTTTCTGAGAACATTTTTTAATCAATTTCGACTCATTTTTGAATCGTTTTTAAGTCATTTTTAAGTGTAAGTGTTGCTGTTTCATTACAAACAAGCAATTTAAAGATTTTTTAGACTTAATATTACACCTATTGTTTTTATACAAAACGTTCTCCATTGTAAAGTTAGATAAATTAAAAGATATCGTCGCCGGACTGAGGACCCATTCCATGTGTCCATGTAAAACTTGCACGCAAACTACCTTTCAATATAATTCTACATATTGCTCTCTTGACTTAAAGTCTAAACTAAATTATTAAATATAATAACAATGCAAACGTTCTCCCCGAATAAGGCTTTTGAGCTCATAATTATGATAAACAGTCTATGTGGTATATCTACAAATATCGGAAAACCTTTTTTATATTAGTCCAAATGATCCTGCCGATTTTCGTAATGATAGGATCTCAATTGAAACCCATAAAGTCTTATGTAAAACATTTGAATAATTTAATAACGTTTTTTTATGAGCAATTTTATTCAAATGGAACATGTCGACCCTACAAACCTGTACCCTATTTAACTTATTTTGTAACACCGGGTCTTCATTTATTCAAAATAGATTTGGTTAAATTTTAGAAAATACAATACCCAATTTCCTAATAAGAAATTTATCAGTTATTTCCTTTAAATAACCTCTCAATAAATTTGATCTTGGCAACCCTACTACATCTATCAAAAAGTTCTTTTTCAAACACCGTTTTTTCTTCTTCTCTTCAACAATTGCACTTCATTTTGTTGTTCTTCTTTCAACACATTTCTTTATAAAAAAAATTTTTTCCAATTAATTGCACTTGTTTCTTTAACTTGTACTTACTATTTTCTCATCTTCTTTCTTTTAACAATTCTTTCTTATTTAACTACAAAAAACAACAATAACATTAACACTTTAACAACAAAAAAAATTATTTGTAGTTATCTTTCTTAATGTTGTTGTTGTTTGTGTAGAAAAAAATAACAAAAAAAGCAAAAAACATATCTCTGTGTATGTTGTTGGTGTTTATTTTATTTGAAATTGTTTCTTTTCTTGATTGTTCCTTTTCAGTTTGTTTACCATTGTTTGTTTGTGTGCGAGTATGTTTATGAGAATTTTTTTCTTGATGTTTCAATTTCTCTGCATTTCCCTTTAACTTTAGTTTGTTTTTAAAATAGTGTGTGGTAATAAAATTTTAGCTGAATTTTTTGCTATATTATTTGAAAATAATATACATTTTATGATATTTTCATACAAAACTAGTATGTTTACATTGATTTAATAAATATTCAAATTGGAATTTATTTATTTTCTTTCTTTTTAGAGTGTAAAAACTAAAATTGCAGTTGAATACAAAATTTTGTGGATTATTGTGAAACTGCCGCCTTTTTTTATGTCACGTGAATTTTTTTTGTTATAAAATTTGTGGATTGTTTGTTCGGAAAATAAATAATACATCTAAAACAGGTAAGTTTTTGTGAATTTTAATTAAAATTGATGAATTAATTATGAACTGGTGGTATTAGGTAAACAGAAACAGATTTTTTAAAGAAATTTTCATAATTTATATGTTGGGGCTCTTTTGAGAACAAAGTTATTGGGAGGACAATCAGATGCAGGTACCTACAATAATTTGATCCACGGGTTTTGCTTCGCGGTTAAAATAAACTATTTGTATTTGTACAAAGTGATTTAAGCTTGGCTTGTTACCCTACTGGTCTTTCCAGAGACTAATCTATAGACTAAACTATAGCATAAACTATAGAATATACTATAGGGAGGACTATAGACTAGACTAATTACTAGACTATATACTAGCCTACAGCTACACTATAGACTAAACTATAGATTAGACTATACACTAAACTATAGACTAGATTGTAAATTAGACTTTAGACTAGACTATAGACTTGTTTATAGACTAGAATATAGACTAGACTATAGACTTGTCTATAGACTAAACAGACTTGTCTATAGACTAGACTATAGACTTGTCTATAGACCAGACTATAGACTTGTCTATAGACTAGACTATAGACTTGTCTATAGACTAGATTATAGACCAAACTATAGACTAGTCCATAGACTTGTCTATAGACTAGACTATAGACCAAACTATAGACTAGCCCATAGACTTGTCTATAGACTAGTCCATAGACTTGTCTATAGACTTGTCTATAGACTAGACTATAGACTTGTCTATAGACTAGACTATAGACTTGTTTATAGACTAGACTATAGACTAGACTGTAGACTTGTCTATAGACTAGACCATAGACTTGCCTATAGACTAGACTATAGACCAAACTGTAGACTAGTCTATAGATTACACTATAGACTAGACTATTGACTAGACTAAGGACTAGACTTCAGACTACTCTGTAGACAAGACTATAGACAACACTATAGACTAGACTAGACTATAGCACAGTAGATAGACTAATCTATAATACAGTTAAAGTTGTATTTAATTAAGTTTTATATACATATGTAATAAGTTTTCCTTATTATATAACAAACTCATTTTTCCAAACATTCTCATAAAAATGAAACCACTGCTCATGTAGCCCCTACTAAATAATGAGATTTTACATAACAGCCGTTAAAAATCTTTTCCTATTAAATTCATTATTTACTATCACCACAAAGAAAATTAAATATTAAAACATTAAATAACTTTTAATCTCTTAACAAAATATACAAAAAAAAAAAAAACTATAAGTTTGCGTGTAGCGAAATACTTAAACATTTCACCAACTGACAGACAAAAAGTCTCAAGTTGATGAAACATTTTAGCACTTCCTTAAAAGCGCCAAACTAACAAACGCCTACTAAACATATTAGAAAAGTTTTTGTTTCTTTTTTGTTAGAAAAAATCTTTATATCTTTTGAAAAAAATTAAAATTTTTATTAAAAAAAAAGTAATGATGTGGAAAAAAAGATATTAAGAAAACCACTTTGTTGTTGTTTTGGTTTACCTGTTTGTAGGAATATTATGTTTAACCTTTAACCGCGATCATCATGATGATGAGAATGTAGATTTTTTGTGGCTAAAGTTTAAAGTGTAGATATAAATAATGTGTTTTTTTTTTCTTTTTTAAGTGTATGTAATTAGTACAGCACTTGTAATATGCTCAGGTTAGTAATTTAGATCCCAGCCAGAAGTTAAAAATAGTTTTTCAGGGTTTTTATAGTTTAAAGTTAATTTCCGTTTTTAAATTTTCTTTAAATTATTAACATGTGTTAAGAAAAATCAAAATTAAAAACACTACTTGAAAATAATTGAACTACTGTAGTCATCAATGATCTGTTATTGGGCACTTGAGATTAATTTGTTTAGGATTTGACTAAAATCTAGATTGTAAGATTCAGAAAGTTTAGAAATTAATACTTTTAAATAGATTTTGTTACAAAATTCTAAAATTTGCTTAAATATTTTTGTCACTCCTCGTTTTTTAAATCTACTGATCTTTTATTTCTCTCCCTCTTTCTCATATTTGAAGTAAAATTTGTCAAAATTTGCTGCAAAACAATAAGAGCGTGACTTCCTAATTCAATTGACAACTTGTTTAACAAAGTATAAGTACAAAGAAAAAAAGAAAAACAAATAAATTTCAAGTGGAAACAAACAACAAACACATGCAACAACAAATAATTGCATACTCATCACATTTGTAGTAAAATGCTAAAAACAGTTTCTGGTTTTTGATATTTCTTAAAGGAATTTTTTAATAATTCACTGGTTAACACACTCTTCTAATATTTAACTATTGTGAGAGGATGATTTTTGTAATTGTTGTTATTAGTTTTTCCTAGACATGAGTCACCCATTTTTATGTTTTTATATAAGTTTAGGTTATTTACAAAAACAAGGAGAGAAGAAAATTAAAAACAAACTGAAATTAAAAGAAAATAATTTTTCTCAATCATCAATGTTTTTTTGAGCAGCTAGAGTTATTAAATTTAAATTTATATGAAAAGCCATAAAATTAACGTTTCTTTTTTGGTTTTTAAAGCAATTGACATTTTTGTATTTATCTTTTTTTAAGTGTTTTTCAATAAAAAATTTTCTTCCGGTGTGTCTTGGCAGCGAGATGTCAAGTCATTTTAATTATTTATTCAAGTGGTTTTTGCTCAACCATAAAAAAGGATTTTTCCTGTATAAAAATAAAATTTTTGATGAGTTTTTAATTTATTACCCAAAGCAGAAGGAATTTAATTAATAAGTTTATATTTAAGCAAAAATGAAAATTAACCATAAATCAGAAAGGAACTTTAAATATGTTGCGAGGAGAATATATATAGATATATATATATAGAATAGACTATAGACTAGACTATAGACTAGACTATAGACTAGACTATAGACTAGACTATAGACTAGACTATAGACTAGACTATAGACTAGACTATAGACTAGACTATAGACTAGACTATAGACTAGACTATAGACTAGACTATAGACTAGACTATAGACTAGACTATAGACTAGACTATAGACTAGACTATAGACTAGACTATAGACTAGACTATAGACTAGACTATAGACTAGACTATAGACTAGACTATAGACTAGACTATAGACTAGACTATAGACTAGACTATAGACTAGACTATAGACTAGACTATAGACTAGACTATAGACTAGACTATAGACTAGACTATAGACTAGACTATAGACTAGACTATAGACTAGACTATAGACTAGACTATAGACTAGACTATAGACTAGACTATAGACTAGACTATAGACTAGACTATAGACTAGACTATAGACTAGACTATAGACTAGACTATAGACTAGACTATAGACTAGACTATAGACTAGACTATAGACTAGACTATAGACTAGACTATAGACTAGACTATAGACTAGACTATAGACTAGACTATAGACTAGACTATAGACTAGACTATAGACTAGACTATAGACTAGACTATAGACTAGACTATAGACTAGACTATAGACTAGACTATAGACTAGACTATAGACTAGACTATAGACTAGACTAGACTAGACTATAGACTAGACTATAGACTAGACTATAGACTAGACTATAGACTAGACTATAGACTAGACTATAGACTAGACTATAGACTAGACTATAGACTAGACTATAGACTAGACTATAGACTAGACTATAGACTAGACTATAGACTAGACTATAGACTAGACTATAGACTAGACTATAGACTAGACTATAGACTAGACTATAGACTAGACTATAGACTAGACTATAGACTAGACTATAGACTAGACTATAGACTAGACTATAGACTAGACTATAGACTAGACTATAGACTAGACTATAGACTAGACTATAGACTAGACTATAGACTAGACTATAGACTAGACTATAGACTAGACTATAGACTAGACTATAGACTATAGACTAGACTATAGACTAGACTATAGACTAGACTATAGACTAGACTATAGACTAGACTATATACTAGTCAACCTCTTCTTTCTTTCTTATTGATAGTTGCAGCCGTACATTTTTTACTTATATAGTGATAATCACCAGTCTTTTAGTAGAGTTTTAAGTAAAAAAATCGTAAATTTTGTGCAAAAGGAGCAAGAAAAAAATCTTTTACATTGATTTGCTTTAAAAAAATCAAACTTTCGTTTTATTTTTGGTAAAACTAAGGAAATTCTTTTTGAAATTATCATTTCCGTGCAAACATACATACAGGTTACCAATACCGCCTGGCTGTTTTTTCTTTTTTTTTTTGGCCAGACACGAGTATAGACCAGACCACCATACTGCACTACAAGTCATATTTTGAGTAATTTAAACAGTTTAAACCCCTATTGGTGCTGGTAATAGAGAAGAGAAAGAGACAAAAAGGTATTAAATGAAATGAAACTGACCCCATAACCCACCAAAACACACAACCATCCAAAATCACAAAACGGCTAGAAATAAACGAAAGAAACAGGCAACCGGTAGTGCTGTATGTCAGTTGTTGTATTATTTTACATTCATTGAATGGATATTACTGTAGTTGTTCAATGATGGTATTTGTAAAACATGATGTTTTTTTGTAAGTTTGTTGTTATTGTTGTTGTTTAACGTTGTAAAATTAAATGTTGATATTAAATTTGTTAACATTTTATAATATTTTCTTCTCATAGTGCATTTTTGCAATTTTCTTTTTAAATATTGGATTTTTTATGGCCTAAAACTTTAGGATTTGTTAGACAAAATTTTAATTTATTTTTTTGGTTTATTATAAAGATTTTTCAAAGAACTTGACCTCTATTTTTCGGCAAGAAAATATAGTTTTATAGTTAAGAGGGGATTTGCTTGATTTTATGGCGTAAATGTTATTAAAGTTTTCTAAAAAGAAATATTTTTAGTATTTAATAAAATTGTTTTTTCAGCAGTTTTCTTTTAAAATAAAGTTTTAGTGTCCAAACAGACTTCCAGATATTAATCATTCTTTGATGAATCTTCAGTTTT